AAGGACGTGGGTGCAGAGATGGGATTCTGCCCCAGGGCAGCCCCAGCTTGGTGCGAGCAGAGGGGGAGTCCTGGTTCAGTGCAGGCAGCCTGCAGAGAAAAGGTCTTCAATATCTCCTTGTTCACCTTTCTGTGGGTGGTCTGCTCCTTCCTTTGTAAGTCCTTATTGCAGTTCACGTCTAGTGGGAGGGAAAGGAATCTTTCTTCACAGAGAACCCTGGATTCAACTCGGGGCGGAGCAGGGCCTGCCCCAAGATGAGTTTTCCTTGCCTCCGCCAGTTTTTCGCCTTCCTCTTCCATTGGCTGGGGCAAGATCCTGCACTTGAGCGCTTTGATCGGGACCTAAGAGCTGGGAGCACATCAAATGCAAAGCTTCTCTTTGAAATCTCTGCTGAAGAAGAGCAAGTGTGCAGCCTGCAGCACCTCAGAAAGAGGAATGGGAGAGCAGCTCTCCCTGGCTTGGGCCAGGGAGCAGATGCTAGGACCGAGCTGGAGCAGCTGGCAGTCGCTGTGTGGTGCAAGCCAAGGCTGGGACATCCCTCTTGGCTCCGGTGGCTCTGCCCAGCCAGGTGGCAGGAGCTGGCAGGGGAAGCAGATGACGGGGCTTTCCTGGAAAGCTTCCTGTCCGTGTGCTCTGCTGCTGGCACAGAAGCAGCCTGGGTGAGAGTCCAGCCCGGCAGAGTGGCAGGACACCGGCATGGGCTTCTGTCTTTGCCTGTAGCCTTCTCCTTGCTCTTTGTCTCCTTCCTATTAAGTGGATCCTGACACAAAGCAGAGAGCTCTGATCATGGAGGTGATATCCAGGAATCAAAAAAACGTGGGACAAGTTCTGCTCCCTGCCCTTTCTGCTTCCTGTTCTGCATCTCCCTGGATGTCTTGGCCCAAATGTTCCATCTTTGTAGAGTGGTTACACCTCCAGGGCAACACTAATCCCCTGCAGCTGCTGTCTAGCATGGGGCGGGCGGTGCTGGAGGCAAGGGAAATATTTATTTTGAGTTTTGCCACTGGCCACTGCCCAGGAAAAATGAGTGACCATACTGGGAACTTCGGGCACTTCTGCATGCAGGGAGAGCTGATCTTCCTGCCCCTGCAGGAGTGGGGTGAGAGCTTCCCCTGGGAGGCTTCATAACGGGACCACCCAAGCAAGATTTTACTTGGATGAGGGAGTGGCTGTGCACCCTGAGAGCTATCCTGGGGTGTGATGGGGAAAGCCTTGGAGCTGCTGGAGGTAAGGTGATGGATGCTAAGTTGTGCTGAAGCAGACTGCAGACCGTCTTGTTACGCCATCACCTCATGCATTGCCCCTGTGCTCCTAGAAATGATGTGAGACCATGAGTCTGACTCTGGGACCAGGGCTGCTGACTGCAGGGTGGGTGTGAGGGGAGGTGATGGACGTGAGCAGCACACACGTGTGCTGAGCTCAATGAGGCCAGCAAGAGCATCCCACCCCCAGCAGAGCTGTGCTGGCACCCACTCCTGCCCAGGCAGCACCCCGAGCCCCAGTCCTGCCTGCAGCACGCATGGGCAGCAGGTTCAACCCCTCCTAGGGCCCCGCAGCTCTCCCCTCCATCCTCAGCTTCGTTTCCTCCGGCCTTGAGCCCGGCCAGTGGCTGCTCTGCAAATCCCAGCCCCAGTTCTTCCTCTGCGCCGAGCCCAGCTTCCTCTCTGCTTTCCGTGTCCTTTCCTCAGCGGCGCACAGGGGATTGTGCCCTGGCTTGCAGAGGAAGAGGAGGAGGCAGGAGGAAGTACCTTTCTTCGGTTTCTCCTGTGATGGTTTCAAGCAGCCTGAGAGCCCCTGCCACCCCCATCACCCCCATTCCAGCGGTGCTAGCCCTGACCCAGCCCCATGGCCAGCACCTCCCTGGCACAGCAGGGTCTGAACGACGCTGAGCTCCCAGGGTCTTTTCCAGGTCAGGCTTCTCCAGCCTATTTTTGGGAAGCTGGGAGCTGCTGGGTGGGGGTGGATCCTGGCAGGGCTGCCTGGTGCCTGCCAGTGCCAAGCTGAGCGGGACTTGTGCTCCCCTCCAACACCAAAAGCCCTGTCC